GGAAATAGATATACTTGTAAATGATATAAGTTGTAAATAATAGTTAAAAAGAGGCAATTACAATATAATAGTTAAAAAGAGGCAATTACAATATTCGTTTAATTTTAAACCTTGTTGTTTTCTTTAATATCGCTAAAAATAATGTTCATCAATCGAGTTACTTCCCCTTTTTGTGACGTCATAAGAGACACTTGACAGATCTTTCTATGATATTTGGGGTACTAGTACCGATCTCTTTATTTGTAACCCCTCAATGAATAAAATTTAATGAGATTTACACAGAATCTTTCAATTATATTGTCACCGTGCACTTTCTATTTTAAAATCAACAATTAGTGATGGGAAATGGTGACAAAAAATTAAACAGACCACAGAATGTCAGTCATATTGTTCCATAGGCTGATAATAATGAATAATTATGAATTTTCACAAAAATATTATACATGACCTTTAAGCATATTATTTACATGCAATTCATCAACATATTGCAATTAAAAAAGGAAACACATTTTGCAGTAAAACACATTTTCATCAAAATCAAAATCTAAGGCAACGAGTTTTACATAATTGTTTTTGTTTAAATATTACACATAAATCATTTCTGCCTTTTAATGATAGTTTTCAAACGCTCATTCTCGTCAATTACACATTCACTTGCTGCTAATTTTGTTAAATCTAAACTTATTAGGTACAATCCTGATAAACTACGAATCCGGCTTAAAGCAACATATGTCATACCCTTTTCAAACACGTGAGAACCTACATCAAGAACAGCACAATCTAAAGACATTCCTTGTACCTTATGAACAGTACAACCCCATGCTAATACCAATGGAAACTGTGTTCGAACTATTTGCCTTCCACTATAAGTAAACTCATGCTGAACAGGTTCTATTGGAATAGGATTATGCATTGACATGTTATGAACACAGTTTAATCTACCCACTCTATAATCATCAAAAAGTACATATATTTTAGATGGTACAGATTGTTCATTATTTGACATTTCATAGTCTATATTAGTAACTGTGACGACTGCACCATTTACTAGCCCTCTTCCCGTCTGAATGTTTCTAATTAACATAACTCGAGCATTGACAGCAATCTGCAAAATATTACACAAGCCTCCAGCATCTCTATCATCTTTTGGAATTAAATGAGCTTCAACAGAATTTAATGCATTTTGGTCAGCTTGTGAAAAGTAATGTAAAGCAGGTATGGATAAAACATTTTCAACCATTCTTGCCAAGAGTCTGTTGTTGTGATTTTCAACTTATCGTCTCAAAGGAAATATGTGTAAAAATTTTTCTAATTCTTCACTTTCAATACACAATCTACTTTTTAAACACTCCATATCTTTTTCAGATGGTAAACCTAATCGAACTCTATTTAACAATGAGAAAAAAAGTACAATTACCATTTTGTCTCATATTTTCTGATTAAAAAAAATGGTTCAAATAAATGCCATAATAACACATTTTCAAATGCATATGTTCCCCTCACTGGTCTCAACTGAAAAAAAATCTCCAACTGTTATTATGTTAAATCCCCCAAATGGTAAATTGTTGTCCTTGATTTCTGAGAGCCGTCTACTTATGAATGTTAACATGCTACTGCTTACCATCATCTATGATTACTGTGTGAACATTATGAAATTTTATTAATTGTTTCAAAGAGTGACCTGACAGACAATTATACTGCAAATATTTGCAAACCGGAATCTTTAACATAGAATGAATTGTTCCGCCATTAATATTGTTTGCAGCTGTACCAGTTGGTGCACAGACCAAAACAGGATTAGAATTAGAGACTTTTGAACAAAACAGCTGCAAATAAGCAACAATAACTTTTGTGAGAAATGTTTTTCCAACACCAGCACCACCGGATATGAACATATAAAAAGGAAATTCTTTATTCTGAAACTTAAGTTTCAAAAATTTTAACACTTTTGACTGAGATAGTGTTAATTTTTTAACAGAATTGTGAAATTCTTCAAGAGACATAGTACATGCAAGTGAATGCATATGCAAATCATCTTCAAAACTAATGTCATCAGACCTCTGTTCATCTGATTCATCATTCATACAAGAAAATGCTTCAAATATTTCATTTTGATTATATGTTGATGTCTGATCATTTTCAGAATTTGTTGACAAATTATTCAATTCTTTTTCTAAATTGATTCTTCTTAAAGTATTTTCAATTTGTTCAGTGAATGAAAAATGTGTAAAATCAATTGAATCATCCACTAAACAATACTTGTTGATAAAAGACTCTTTAGCAGAGGAAAATGGATGCATTATTTCTTTGTCAGACCTGTGTGGAAGTAATAATACAAGTATACTATAGAAGTAATCTTCTGAATAACTTGGATATGTTGGAGTTCTAATAACAAAGGGCTTTTTTAACTTTTTTCATCCATATATCATATTTAGCAATATATATCCTTTCTAAACATTTTCGTTTTGGTTGTCCAAGATTAGTCTTTTCATACCAAGAACAAAATCTATACAGAGAGAGATTTTCCATACTATGAGGACGATGCTGATAATAATCATAAACATTTGTTTGAAAAACATCTGTAGAATTTTCGGGTAAATCGTTAATTTTAATGAAATACTGGGTATTTCCATTTCTGTATCTTTTCTTTGTGATATCTCTTTGAAGTTTAGTGGAGTTAATTTCTTTATATTTCCATTTCTATTTGTTTTCTCTTTGATAACTTGTTGAAAGTTAGTGGAGCTGATTTCTTGATAATTCTATCAGAATGTAAATTTGGCAAATTAATAGGTCAAGAGCTAAGGAGGCCTAAATATGCATGTAAATCTTGTACGATTGTTTTTGTGTTTGATGTCAATGGGTGGGTACATTTGAAATTCACATGGAAGTAATTTAAATCTAGTAGTCTACATTTTAAAATCTACATTTTATAAATTTGAATGTACAATTTTATTTCACAATGACACTATATGCTAACTAGACAGTGATTCCTTAAATAATTTTACAGCAATTAATGTTTAAAAAAAGTTGATCAATGAAAGTCAGCACAATATATTTTCCTGGCAGCAATATAATAAATATGGTAGGCTTATAAAATGCATTCAATAATTTGCACTGCAAGAATTACCAGAGTATTTTGCATACAACTCTGAAGCAACAAATGGTCGGAACCACTTTCTATAAAACAGATCTAGTTTAGGAACTAAACAAAATTTACAATACTCCTGGTCAAATTCAATTTTTTCTACAAACAGTGATTTAAAAGTATAAACTTAAACTACAAAATTGCCTTCCAGTGATAAGTAATTGACCTTGAATTTGATCATAATAATTTGATGATTTCTTAAGTTAAATGACTCCATTTTTTTGCTCTAAATACCTAAAATACTTCAGACACTTTAATCATGATTTATAGTTCTAAGCTTTAATTTTTTTTAGATACAGTTTTGAAATAAGAAATACAAAATGTTCTCTTGCTTCAATTGCAATTAAATTAATCTTTTTAAACATTGAGGTACTGTAAGCACTGCGCTCACAAAATGATACCCCCACCTCCTATTGGTTATAGTGGAAAAGAACATGTATCGCGATTGGATACACAAATGAGTTTGGGACCAAAGGTATTTTCATTATACCCCCCGCTTGAAAAGTGGGAGGGTATATAGTAATCCAGATTTCCGTCAGTCTGTACGTCCGTCCATCTGTTACGCTTTAAGGGTACCCATCTCTTATACGCAACTCCTCTCATACCACTGAAGGAAATTTAATAAACTTTGTCAGAATCTTTATTACGAGGGTCATTCAAAAAGTTTGTAGACTTTTGTCCTAACTTTTTTATTTAACGTCATATTATATCCAAATTTGGTACAAATATTTTAACAACAGATTCAAATAATTTGAGTAAAAAAATTGGAATGAATCTTCATATTTATTAAAATTACCAAGGACTTAGAACAGCAAAAATGGGGTCACGGAGCACCGTCAAAATTGAGTAATTTACTAATGTTCAATTTATAGTATTTACAGCCATACCTCTAATAAATGGAGCTGAAACGAAATAAAATTTACATGTTTAAATAAAGTATTGCTGTATTAATTAAAATGAAATCAGGTTATGTAATATGTCTCTCCATTTAAATGATATTAGTTTCTAAATACATATGGACTTGATTAAAAAACGCAAAAAAACATGACGTTTGGGGACGTCACGGAGCAGCAAGTAGCAATAAAATTGTACTTTACATTCGGGAAACTTCTTCTACAAGCTTAAAAATCCGTATAAACCAGAATCTGTATGAAAATTAATCTGTGTATTTGTATTAAATGGAAAATACAATTTTTGAGTGGTGGCGAGTTTGAATCGGTTGATGGATTGTCTGCAAGGAAACAGGTTAAAGTTAAAAATATTGTCGAAAGAGTTAGGAACGTCATTGAACGTAATGTGTGCTACACTGTTGCAGAATTAATAGAGTTACAAGGTAATTTAAAGAATTTGAAAACAATGACATTCTTATTCAAGCTATATTTGTACAATTGTTCGCAAACAAGGTGTTAAGTGTTATGGATATGTTTTTTTGAATGGAGAAGACGCTACAAACCGTGTTTGAAATTAATAAAATTAGTATTATTTTGACAAACTTTCTCAACGTTGTCTTTGACGTTACAATGTTGGTTAACCGTGCTCCGTGGCAACAAAACAGGTTGGTTTAAATTTTGGCTAACATGAGTTCTATTTAATCAAATGGAATGAAACTTCACACTTCGACATAATAAATGTTTATGTTTACGAAAATTTGTTGATCTATAATCTTGTAATAATTATATGACGATGAGAAGCATTGCCTACGTATTTTTTGAATGACCCTCGTACATATTGCCATTGTGCATCTTCTATATTACATTTTGATCTAACATATATTTTAGATCTTCCAGACCAAACCATGGATACTTCCACTATATTCATAAGGGAGGCAGGGGGTATTATTTAGTGAGCTTATTGCTCACAGTACCTCTAGTTTTATTACATATACCTTCAAATCAGCTCCTTTGAATAAGTAGCGATAGGCAATATCTGCCGACGATTTTGCGGTATAATTGATGAGGATGTTCCTCACCCTGTCCTCAAAACCCTCCATATTCCTCCTCTTCTCTGGACGGGGATCATCTAATATTGACTCTGACTTGCGTTTTCGTGAAAGATGTTCTACCTTTACTGGTGATCCTGTAAGAAAAAAGTGTCAAGTTGAAATATTTTAAATGATAGGTAAAACCACAATACATTCTTCAAATTCATATTCTGTGTTATTTATGTTATAGGTTCACCCAGACTAAAGCTAAATATTGTAGCAGAAAGTATATAGGGAACTTATACTGCCTTGCTAGTAAGCTAGCTTTTCTAGTGATGCGGTAAACTATCCCTCTATTTCAGGCAAGTTTAGAAATGTTGAGCCTGTTAAACCCTTGGATGGGTGACCACTTCATGTTAAATATCAAATCTTGTAATAATTATTCAAAATGCATATTGAGTATTACCAGGGGTATAATAGCTTAAAAAATAACTATAAATCAATAAATGTAAACCTTTATGGGAAGTCTTTGGTTTATTGAACATCATTAGGTTCTCTGTGCACGTTTTCTCAATGCCAGTCAGTTCTCCTAACCCAGTGAACCTCTCCAGCATCACCATCACTGCTGCTAGATGCTTACACGTTCCGTTTGGGCCCTTACCAGCAGGACATTCGCAGTGGGAACTTAAAATATCTCCGGATTGCTTTTCTAGTCGAAGCTTGTAGTTGTATGTCACCTGATTGATAAAAATACATACATGGTATTTGCCCAATTCATAAAAATACAAAGAATACGTGTATTACAAATTACAAAAGGGACTTTCTATCTGGAATAAAATGATAAGTATAGAGATTTGAAAAAAAAAAACAGGCATAGATTAAATTTCTTGCTGAGTCTATGTAAATGTTCAACTGACCTTATTTTTCATTGCTGCACTGACTATTCCCGTAAAAAATATGTCGGCCTGAATGAGCACAGAACACGCAAGGATTCTCTTGGAATCGTACAGCAATTCACCATTCTAAATGGCCTTAATATTTCTTGCCGAGTCATTATCACCTACAAAAATAAATACATATTAATTTCATTACTAAAGTTCATTGCATTAAAAACAAGAAGTCTGTGAGGAAATCATTAATGCTCACTAGTGATATCCCTGCTCTAATGTTAATTTACCATCTCTTCTGTGATCACTGTTTGAAATAACTTTAACCCTTTCGACGCCGAATAACGTTACTGCTAAAACGTCGCGGATGCCGTACTGTGACGTCAGCTAAGACGTGAAATAGTTGCGTCGGGAAAAAAAAGCGTCAAAGAGATCAAGAAAAAGCACCTGTTTAACCAAGGTAATAGGATGTAAGCAAAATGCTTATAAAAATGACATCTCTGTTCCAATAATTTTAATATCAGTACAATAAAGTAAGCAAACAATAATCCTTTAGCTAGCAATTGCAAGGAAAGACTTTAAATAGAACGAAAGAGACCCCAACTTTCTGAATGCAAATATGCATAACATTTAATTATATAATTTTTCATTTTCCAGTATTTTATGAGCATTTAAATAATTAAGACGCGTCAAAACAACGTTGGCGTTAATCAATGATAATGTTAAGTCGTTGCGGGTCTCGAATTCACTTTCTAAACATTACCAACATTTTTAAATACATATCTTAATTGTGTTGATACAATGCCCCCCCCCCCCCCCCCCCCCCTAAAAAAAAAAAAAAAAAAAAAAAAAAAAACATGAAAAAGAGAGAAGTCCAGTCCGAAAATTAGGACACCTCTCAAAAAAAAAAAAGATCTCGATATTATAGAATAAATATTACTTTCATTTAGATGACCTCATTGTACATATAAAATTACATGGTTCTTCAGGGTTAAATCATAAATAATTAAATTTTTTTCTACTACCAAGCGGATCTTTTTAATTTTGCTATTTTTCAAAAATAAGTTGATAATATATATTTGAATTTTCAGTTTCCATTTTTAATTTTCTAAATTAAATTTCTTCGTCTGAAACATAATTATAGAATCACAAAACAGCAGGATCATTTATATAATGACAAAGTATTGTTTTGAGAATGTTTATTCCATATTCAAAAATTAAAATCATTAATTGTATTTATGTTTTTTTTTAAGTAAATCAGACTGTATCAAAGTAGTAATAAAATTAATGCTGCTGAACTTCATCTTTTTTTTTTTGGTGGCTAGGAGGGGGAGGGGTGGGGGTGGGGGTCTGGGCTATCGACGCTTTTTAAAACTTGGACACAACAATCGGAACATTATCTCAAAAACGTCATAGTACATGTAATTGGTTTCTTTGATACAGATTCCAAATGTCGGAATGACTTGGCCATTAGCGATCATATTCCCAAATACAAATTCTCACCTGCTTGACAGAAAAAGTATATCCGAGAGTGACTCTCGTCATGCTTTAGCATATGAGTTCGACATTCTAATTTTAAGAAAAATTTAATTGTAACATTAGTTACATTACGCATGGTTTAAAATAAAGAACTCTCTGAATTCCTGGAATTGATTAAATCTCGTCAGATATTAATTAATAATATGTCTATTCAACGATTGTCTGGTTTCTAACTCAGCTTTATGAAAAGTTCAAAAATGAAAAAAAAAAAAAGGAAACGAAACAAAACAAAAAAATGTATAGTTTGATCAAAAGTAGGTATACTGCAGTCATTTGACGAAATCTATTAATTATTATATTTAGTTAAATTGTGTTGAAATGTACATATTTATTATATATGACTAAAGCAATAAAGAAACAAGAAGATGTAACCATCAATTGTCGCCCGGGAAATATATAAAGTAAACTATGGAAATGACTCTTGATCATCAAACCGCTTCGATATGTGTGAAAAGGCATGCGTCTTATTGATGGAGACGATAGTTGCGGTTATTTAGAAAACTTATAGTCGGATAAATGTCAAACAAAAACGATACCATTTTAAACTTCAATTCCTCGAGCAAATGTTGGCTGCATAAAATATAAATTGAAGTTAGACACATGCATCACCTATCTTCAAAAATGTATTCAATTCCCAATTTTAGAATATGAAACACGAACTGTGCAGAGTACGTTTTTATGTGAGAAGTAAAATTCGATGTTCTATAAAAAGGGACCTGTCGTTGTTTCGATAGTAAATGATAAACAACTTTATATAGTAAATATGAAAAAAACATATTTTTGCAGATTCACTTTATGGAAGTAAATATATTATGTATCTCGTAATTTATAAAGGGAAAGAACATTCTGATTACCAATCTTTTCAATGTTTGGAAAACCTTAAATTTTGAATAACTACTCCAACCCCAATCCCCATATATATATATGTATAGAGCAACAACCCGGTCCTCCGGGCTGCAATAATTCGTATGAATCTCTTTGTTTGAGGCCGTGCAGAAAGCCATACCCTTTAATACTACGGCTCTAATTGGCTCTCTTCATAGGCATCTCAAACATTTTGTTATTCATACAAAGTAACGCTTTCTTGGAATCTCGATGTTACAGAACATGACTTGTAATTTTGCAGGTTAGGTTTTTTTCGTTTGTTTGTTAAGCGTCCACATTAAAGAAAAAAAAAATCTTTCTATCCTAATAAAAAACACATACATGTACTGAAATAGAAAAGCGCAACATGAAGATTTCTCATCATCATCTGGGAATATACATTGTATCAAAAATAAACTACTAGTTTAGCGAAATCAAAATTCTTGGTACACAAAAAAGGGAAAGGGGTGCCGATATCAAAGAATAAAGTGTGTGGCAAACATTTGTATCTGAACATTTTCATGGTGTGTATTTGTTTTCAAATGGACCTTCAAACTATTCCGAGTCGTCCGCTTATGCTACACATAGAGTTTTTTTTTTAACCCTATGGAACTTGCAGAAGCCTTTGCTCATTCATATAAAATGTTGCTTGAACCTTAATGATTTTGCCCCAAAAATGCATTTTATAAGTAAAATACAAACAACTATACGGGGAAAATGAGACAAAAAAGACAACTCAATTTGTAAAATTCATAAAAGATTAAAATAGACATTGATGTCATTAAGAGTTATCTCTCTTATCAGAGTATCGATGTACCTTAAGACATAGTCGGGGTGTAGAGTGAACAGAGTTGAAACTCGTCGTCCATGATTTCAATGTTAAACCGGCCATTTATTATTATAACATGCTGATATAACAGGAATTTAATAGAAAAGCCATCATTCAAATGTTTGTTTTCCTTTCCCGACTCAATGTTAAAAAAAAGGTCGGTAGGTAGTTAGGATTTTTTTCTTGAAAACTTTAGCATGTATGTTATAGGGATAAGACCCAAAAAATCTTGTCTCGGAATATTAAAACAAAGTTTTGACTCGGGACATTTTTAGTTCATCGATCGGGAGTGGGCAACATTTTTTTTTATGAGATGGCCTCTGGTTGCTTTTATTTTTCATTTTCCCATAACGTATACGACCTTGCTCAATTTTTTTGTTTAAGAACGCCCAAAAATATAACAAAAATCAAGAACAAAAATGAAATAGTTTCAATGTCCCAGGCTTTAAAGCTTGAAATTTAAAATAAGAAAATGATTTGATTTTTTTTTCGGGGGGGGGGGGGGTCACTTTCAGTTAAATCAGTAGGTCAAATCTTGAACCAATTTTTAATATAGGCCCAGATTTATTAAATTGCGTTAATAACGCTTACGATTAATTAATTTTAATTAATTACATTAATTCATTCTCAAAAAATGTCGCCATATGAATATTAATTAATCGTTATCAGAAGGTCGCAAGTGCCTGTGGAATATCAATATATCATTTTTCAGCCTTGTCTATTGTTGTTTCTTTTGTTAATTGTCTATTGTCGTTTCTTTTGTTAATATATTACCAAGCATAAAATCATTCTCGGTATTATGCTCAAAAATAAATAAATAAATAAATACGCATCTGCGTGTATCTAGCATTATTTTATTTCTTAAAAAATTTAAGTTGCAAGTTCAATAAAATGTCAAAGTGAGTGAATAAGTATTAATATCAGGGACTACGGTTTTTTAATGTGTTTAGTCTAAAATTTCAATTTTTTTAACAAATCTTATTTTTTGAATGCTAAAATTCCTTTGATGAAGACTATTTGTAAAACAAATGTAAAACCCAATTTTCAGTGCCTATATAATGTATATCCTAGTGTACCCATAAATCGTCCCCTTACTGCATTTGACGTCATAGTAACAACGAGCGCGTGCAAATTGATAAACAAACTTCAGTGCTAGTTATAGAATGGAATTGCTGATTAAATGATAAAAATTATTTTTTCTTACCACTCTTTACAAGATTTTTAGAACTCTTCTACAAAATCAAACTTTTACACTTAGAAATATCACCCATACCCTATTTTCGTCCTTCAGACATAAAACGGCCGCAGATGATTGTTCTATTTGTTTTCCCGTGATTTGTGATTAAAAAAGGGTTGGAAAATCATTAAAATAAAAATTGCAAATTTTAATTGTTAATTCTAATTTTTTATTTATCAATTTTAGAACATTAAATTGCTTTCGCTATTACCGAGTACAGTCTCCGTTTTCTTTAACGAAATAAAAAAAAAACACGAACGTACTTTCAGATTAACATTGTCACATTTTCAACGATGTCATGTATGCTCATCAAATTACCTGATATGCAAATCATATAATGTTTTATTTTAGATTTTCCAAAATTCATTGACCTTACTTGCAAAAACCGATATAAAATCAAAATATTTGAACAGTGCAATTCTTGCACAATCTGAAAAAAACCAATAGGAATACTATAATTCAATGCGTAGACTTGAATTGATCACCTAATTATTAAAATAATGTGTGAAATATTCACGTTACAGGAAAAAAATTATCGTCTACTAGCTCTGCAGTAGATGAAAAATAAAAGAGTCGCAGAAAAGATCTTGTTTTACTTGATTATATCATGAAGTTGGACCCAGTAGACGTCCGGATTAGTTATGCTTCAATGCACGTGACGTAGCACCTGTCAAACTGGTAAAAATTGTGACAA